TATATATAACTATCATATAGGGGAAATTGTCACCTTTGGTGGTCTTTTTTTGACATAACTCGAGAACCACTAGTCCGATTTTGCTCAAACAAATTTAAAAAAATTAAAAATTACAATTCCTTTAATCTGTTCATATATCGTTTGTCTATATAATCAACAGTTTTAAAAAAATTTAATATTTTAGGCAAAAAATATATTTTTTCTTCATACATTTATTTTTACCGGCAAAACTGTTGATTATATAGAAATATAGAGCGGCAAGCTGAAGAAGAAATTTTCACCTCAGCATCTGCACCATTTATGGGAGATACTATTGGGGCTATCGACTGCACTCATGTGTCAATCATGAGTCCAAAAAATCATGAAGAAGCGTATGTCAACCACCATGGATACCATTCTATCAATGTGCAAATGGTAAGAGTAAAATTTGCTCAAGGGTTAAACTACTGAGAATTGATTTTATTTTTTGGCTGTCAATACTAAATACTCAGGAGCGCGACACGATTCATTCATTTGGAGCTCCTCTGCAGTCCGGAGAGTTATGCAGCGAAGTTTTGAAAATGGAAACTATAATATGTTTTTGATTGGTAACTTTTTAAATCCACTTAAACTTATTAAAATAATTTTAATTGAAAATGTCGAATAAACATTTGCAGGTGGCTCAGGATATCCTTTGGAGCCGTGGTTGATGACTCCTCTACCAAACCAACCAGAAGGGGGTCCTAAATTCCGCTACAATGAGGTATTGTGCAAAGCTCGAAACCCAGTCGAGAGACTTTTTGGCGTTCTCAAAGGAACTTGGCGTTGGTTATCTCAACAAAGGACTCTTTTGTATGATCCTGGATATACTGGAAAAGTAGTAAAAGCATGCACAGTGTTGCATAACTTGCGATTGGATGACCAAACATACGATCCCGAGACTGAGTTCCTAGAGCCAAGGACAAAGAGCAGTAATGTAAATCAAGACGCGCCGTCTTCAACAGCAAAACGCGTCCAAGACCGGCTAATTGCAAATTATTTTACATTAATAAAACGTTGATAAATAAAAATTCAGAAGGAATACAATAAAATTATTTTGGCATTTTACTACACATTTTTATGTAAATAAAAACTCTAGTATCAATAACTTCAGTCGTATTTTGTCTTTAATTTGAGTAAATTTTTTTAAAGTCTAGAATTATTATATTCAACAAGTTTTATTGAGCTTGAGGCCGCTTTTTAATGAAAACTTATTGTGGAAAAGCAACAATAATTTGTAAAAATGGTAGAAGTGATAGCTATTTCGGACATCAGCACATTTCCTCATCAGACTTCTTTCAGTAGGATTCGAACCGAAGATCTAGAATTATATACGTAGATATTCATGAAATATAGGGTCCATCAAAAGACATCACAGTTTGTAGTCGTAGATCAGTTTCTATAATGTGATATGGCGTGGATTAAAACACCACGTAAAAGCACGTTCAAGTTACAGGGGCATCACAAAATTAAAACATGAATTCACAATATTAAATTTCATTACTTATTGCATATAAGAAATTTATGTGGTATATCTTACATGCAGTAAGTCCCGTATACCTCTTTATCAACTAAATTTGTAAACATTGAATTCATTTGAAAATCAACAGAACTTCAAATAACTCGCTTATTATAAACTAATAAAGATATCAACGTACTACGTCAATATGTAAAACTTCTTCGAATATCTTAAACAGTTATTCTAAATGTAAAAAGTTAACTTCATGCTATGTCGAATTAAAACTCAACTCTAACATAAATACAAAAAAAGGAACTTCATGCTCTATTAAATGAAAACTTAACTCTAACATAAATATAAAAACAAAAAAGAACTTAAACTTATATTTAAAACGCTTAAAACTAACATAAATATTAAAACAAAAAATTACTTCAAAAACTACATATTTACACAATATTTACAACCGGTAGATAGCCTTTGTTAAATATTTACACAATATTTACAACCGGTAGATAGCGCTTGTTAAAATATTAAAGGCATCCGCACATGCCTTTTAACCTTCCCTCATTGTGGTCATAGCTTCGGCCAACGATTTCGTTACCTGCACACTCGCCGTACTTGTTTCAGCTAACAACTGTTGAAAGAGCATAAGAATGTAATATTATTTTTTAGTATGTACAAAAAACTACCTTCAAAGCATCTGCTTGTCTACTTGCTATTTGTACATTCGCTGAACTCGACTCTGCTGCTGTTGAAAAAGAACCGAAAAAATTATAACTCAAATACAATATACAAATAAGTAAATTACTTTTGAGGCATTTGCTTGGGTCTGAGCAATTTCCAAACAATTATTTTTTCTCTTTTACCTCTACGTGGCGTTTTTCCTGCAGGAGTTATAGGAGTCGATGTGCACATCTCAATGCTCACTTCGTGAGAAATAGATGACATCTCGATGAGGACACCTTCATCACCCTCTTCCATACGCAGTGGAAGTTCCTAATGATGGGAAGAATTGTTAACTGCTGTGCTATTCAAAACTATTTATTTACTTTTTACCTCTTCCACTAGCACACTTTCAGCAACAGTTTCACAGCCCTGCACATAGTCGCTACCGACAAGGGCAAGCACGCGCCTCTCAAGCTCAGTGGGTGGCTCTTCATTAATGGGATTGTTTCCCGTCATTGTCTGCTTTCTTTTTCTATCACGCACCTTAGTGCTAGTACGGCTCTTCAAATCCCTTCATACCTTTTTGCAAAACAAAATTTTAAACGTGGTATTNATATATATAACTATCATATAGGGGAAATTGTCACCTTTGGTGGTCTTTTTTTGACATAACTCGAGAACCACTAGTCCGATTTTGCTCAAACAAATTTAAAAAAATTAAAAATTACAATTCCTTTAATCTGTTCATATATCGTTTGTCTATATAATCAACAGTTTTAAAAAAATTTAATATTTTAGGCAAAAAATATATTTTTTCTTCATACATTTATTTTTACCGGCAAAACTGTTGATTATATAGAAATATAGAGCGGCAAGCTGAAGAAGAAATTTTCACCTCAGCATCTGCACCATTTATGGGAGATACTATTGGGGCTATCGACTGCACTCATGTGTCAATCATGAGTCCAAAAAATCATGAAGAAGCGTATGTCAACCACCATGGATACCATTCTATCAATGTGCAAATGGTAAGAGTAAAATTTGCTCAAGGGTTAAACTACTGAGAATTGATTTTATTTTTTGGCTGTCAATACTAAATACTCAGGAGCGCGACACGATTCATTCATTTGGAGCTCCTCTGCAGTCCGGAGAGTTATGCAGCGAAGTTTTGAAAATGGAAACTATAATATGTTTTTGATTGGTAACTTTTTAAATCCACTTAAACTTATTAAAATAATTTTAATTGAAAATGTCGAATAAACATTTGCAGGTGGCTCAGGATATCCTTTGGAGCCGTGGTTGATGACTCCTCTACCAAACCAACCAGAAGGGGGTCCTAAATTCCGCTACAATGAGGTATTGTGCAAAGCTCGAAACCCAGTCGAGAGACTTTTTGGCGTTCTCAAAGGAACTTGGCGTTGGTTATCTCAACAAAGGACTCTTTTGTATGATCCTGGATATACTGGAAAAGTAGTAAAAGCATGCACAGTGTTGCATAACTTGCGATTGGATGACCAAACATACGATCCCGAGACTGAGTTCCTAGAGCCAAGGACAAAGAGCAGTAATGTAAATCAAGACGCGCCGTCTTCAACAGCAAAACGCGTCCAAGACCGGCTAATTGCAAATTATTTTACATTAATAAAACGTTGATAAATAAAAATTCAGAAGGAATACAATAAAATTATTTTGGCATTTTACTACACATTTTTATGTAAATAAAAACTCTAGTATCAATAACTTCAGTCGTATTTTGTCTTTAATTTGAGTAAATTTTTTTAAAGTCTAGAATTATTATATTCAACAAGTTTTATTGAGCTTGAGGCCGCTTTTTAATGAAAACTTATTGTGGAAAAGCAACAATAATTTGTAAAAATGGTAGAAGTGATAGCTATTTCGGACATCAGCACATTTCCTCATCAGACTTCTTTCAGTAGGATTCGAACCGAAGATCTAGAATTATATACGTAGATATTCATGAAATATAGGGTCCATCAAAAGACATCACAGTTTGTAGTCGTAGATCAGTTTCTATAATGTGATATGGCGTGGATTAAAACACCACGTAAAAGCACGTTCAAGTTACAGGGGCATCACAAAATTAAAACATGAATTCACAATATTAAATTTCATTACTTATTGCATATAAGAAATTTATGTGGTATATCTTACATGCAGTAAGTCCCGTATACCTCTTTATCAACTAAATTTGTAAACATTGAATTCATTTGAAAATCAACAGAACTTCAAATAACTCGCTTATTATAAACTAATAAAGATATCAACGTACTACGTCAATATGTAAAACTTCTTCGAATATCTTAAACAGTTATTCTAAATGTAAAAAGTTAACTTCATGCTATGTCGAATTAAAACTCAACTCTAACATAAATACAAAAAAAGGAACTTCATGCTCTATTAAATGAAAACTTAACTCTAACATAAATATAAAAACAAAAAAGAACTTAAACTTATATTTAAAACGCTTAAAACTAACATAAATATTAAAACAAAAAATTACTTCAAAAACTACATATTTACACAATATTTACAACCGGTAGATAGCCTTTGTTAAATATTTACACAATATTTACAACCGGTAGATAGCGCTTGTTAAAATATTAAAGGCATCCGCACATGCCTTTTAACCTTCCCTCATTGTGGTCATAGCTTCGGCCAACGATTTCGTTACCTGCACACTCGCCGTACTTGTTTCAGCTAACAACTGTTGAAAGAGCATAAGAATGTAATATTATTTTTTAGTATGTACAAAAAACTACCTTCAAAGCATCTGCTTGTCTACTTGCTATTTGTACATTCGCTGAACTCGACTCTGCTGCTGTTGAAAAAGAACCGAAAAAATTATAACTCAAATACAATATACAAATAAGTAAATTACTTTTGAGGCATTTGCTTGGGTCTGAGCAATTTCCAAACAATTATTTTTTCTCTTTTACCTCTACGTGGCGTTTTTCCTGCAGGAGTTATAGGAGTCGATGTGCACATCTCAATGCTCACTTCGTGAGAAATAGATGACATCTCGATGAGGACACCTTCATCACCCTCTTCCATACGCAGTGGAAGTTCCTAATGATGGGAAGAATTGTTAACTGCTGTGCTATTCAAAACTATTTATTTACTTTTTACCTCTTCCACTAGCACACTTTCAGCAACAGTTTCACAGCCCTGCACATAGTCGCTACCGACAAGGGCAAGCACGCGCCTCTCAAGCTCAGTGGGTGGCTCTTCATTAATGGGATTGTTTCCCGTCATTGTCTGCTTTCTTTTTCTATCACGCACCTTAGTGCTAGTACGGCTCTTCAAATCCCTTCATACCTTTTTGCAAAACAAAATTTTAAACGTGGTATTAAATTACTAAAAAATGTTTACATACTGTGCGCCAGTGGTTGACGTTCTTCACCGCACCACCAAGGCCATTCAGCATTGACGCTAGTTCACTTCACTTCTTGTCGCAGTCCGATTTGCCATGAAGTTTCTGCAACCTGGATCCTGCCAATCCCGGCGTTTCCGTCAAAAAGTCCACCATGCGACTTAGTTGTTTTGCTGTGCTCCGGCTTCTCTTTTGAACACTGTGTACTGACGAAGCCATTCTATAATATGCGAAAATGGTTACGTCTAATAATACAAAATAAATAAACGTTTTATTTTACTTTTTATTTGGGCGCTGTAACCGCCTAAGCGATTTTGGCCAAGTGGGGGCCTCCCTCTTCATCTGGGTTCCGAGTTGAATACTTTCAGAGCTGGAGCGTCGGTGTCCATTTGAACGACATGGCCAAGCCAGCGAAGCTGCTGTGTTTTAATTCACTGCATTATGTCCATGGCGTTGTAAAGCTCATACAGCTCATCGTTCCATCGTCTGCGGTACTCGCCGTCGCCAACGCGTAAAGGTCCGTAAATCTTCCGCAAAATCTTTCTCTCGAACACGCCAAGAGCCGCCTCATCGGATGTTGTCATTGTCCATGCTTCTGCACCATATACCAGCACGGGCATGATGAGTGACGTATAGAGCGTGGTTTTCGTACGTCGAGAGAGGACTTTACTCCTGAATTGCCTACTCAGTCCAAAGTAGCACTTGTTGGCAAGAGGGATTCTGCGTTGGATTTCCATGCTGACATTATTATCGGTGTTAATGCTGGTTCCCAAGTAAAGGAAATTCTCTACTTTCTCGAAATTGTAACTGCCAACAGTGACGTGGGTGCCAAGGCGCGAATGTGCTGACTGTTTGTTTGATGACAGGAGATACTTCGTCTTGTCCTCTTTTACCACCAGACCCATTCGCTTTGTTTCCTTATCCAACTTGGAAAAGACAGAACAGACTTCGCGGTTTTTGATACCGGTGATATCGATGTCATCGGCATAAGCCAGCAATTGCACGCTCTTGTAGTAAACTGTTCCTGAGCGGTTCAGTTCTGCAGCTCTTATTATCTTCTCCAACATCAGATTGAAGAAGTCACATGAAAGGAAGTCGCCCTGTCTGAAACCCCGTTGAGTGTTATGGGACGNTGCCTTCCGTCTATCACAACTTGATCGATTTGGTTTCTCGTTTTTCGATCAGGAGACAGCCACGTATNGAAGCCAAGTCCTTCTCCACCTGATCTTTCCATCGCAGTGGGGGCCTCCCTCTTCCTCTGCTACCACCAGCGGGTTCCGAGTTGAATACTTTCAGAGCTGGAGCGTCGGTGTCCATTTGAACGACATGGCCAAGCCAGCGAAGCTGCTGTGTTTTAATTCACTGCATTATGTCCATGGCGTTGTAAAGCTCATACAGCTCATCGTTCCATCGTCTGCGGTACTCGCCGTCGCCAACGCGTAAAGGTCCGTAAATCTTCCGCAAAATCTTTCTCTCGAACACGCCAAGAGCCGCCTCATCGGATGTTGTCATTGTCCATGCTTCTGCACCATATACCAGCACGGGCATGATGAGTGACGTATAGAGCGTGGTTTTCGTACGTCGAGAGAGGACTTTACTCCTGAATTGCCTACTCAGTCCAAAGTAGCACTTGTTGGCAAGAGGGATTCTGCGTTGGATTTCCATGCTGACATTATTATCGGTGTTAATGCTGGTTCCCAAGTAAAGGAAATTCTCTACTTTCTCGAAATTGTAACTGCCAACAGTGACGTGGGTGCCAAGGCGCGAATGTGCTGACTGTTTGTTTGATGACAGGAGATACTTCGTCTTGTCCTCTTTTACCACCAGACCCATTCGCTTTGTTTCCTTATCCAACTTGGAAAAGACAGAACAGACTTCGCGGTTTTTGATACCGGTGATATCGATGTCATCGGCATAAGCCAGCAATTGCACGCTCTTGTAGTAAATTGTTCCTGAGCGGTTCAGTTCTGCAGCTCTTATTATCTTCTCCAACATCAGATTGAAGAAGTCACATGAAAGGAAGTCGCCCTGTCTGAAACCCCGTTGAGTGTTATGGGACGGTTATCGATAGCAATCGAACTTCAGTTGCGTTGCTAGTTGCCAAAACGATATTACATATTGCAACTGGCAACTTTCAATTGACAACTGCAGTTGCTACAAAGTGTGCAAACAGGCGACTACATTTTTGTGGTTGCTGGGAATATTTTTGGAGTGTATTTAGGAGCGAAAATTGAAAAGTGTGTCATATATTTTACTTTTTAATAATTTGAACGATATTAACATTTTGCAATGCAGTTTGCTTTTACAGAATATGGTGAAAAAAAAATACAAAACAATAACTTGAAATTTTAGTTTCCGTTGAGTACGCCCTTTTGGCGAAACAAAAGTGAACACTGATTGCAAATTTTTTCCTTTATCAACTGAAGCACCTCTTAAAGCTACCGAANCGGCGAAGTCGATCAGCCTCAATCCGTTGTCGGACGTTTCGTTGTGGAGGCTGTGTTTNAGATACTTCGTCTTGTCCTCTTTTACCACCAGACCCATTCGCTTTGTTTCCTTATCCAACTTGGAAAAGACAGAACAGACTTCGCGGTTTTTGATACCGGTGATATCGATGTCATCGGCATAAGCCAGCAATTGCACGCTCTTGTAGTAAACTGTTCCTGAGCGGTTCAGTTCTGCAGCTCTTATTATCTTCTCCAACATCAGATTGAAGAAGTCACATGAAAGGAAGTCGCCCTGTCTGAAACCCCGTTGAGTGTTATGGGACGGTTATCGATAGCAATCGAACTTCAGTTGCGTTGCTAGTTGCCAAAACGATATTACATATTGCAACTGGCAACTTTCAATTGACAACTGCAGTTGCTACAAAGTGTGCAAACAGGCGACTACATTTTTGTGGTTGCTGGGAATATTTTTGGAGTGTATTTAGGAGCGAAAATTGAAAAGTGTGTCATATATTTTACTTTTTAATAATTTGAACGATATTAACATTTTGCAATGCAGTTTGCTTTTACAGAATATGGTGAAAAAAAAATACAAAACAATAACTTGAAATTTTAGTTTCCGTTGAGTACGCCCTTTTGGCGAAACAAAAGTGAACACTGATTGCAAATTTTTTCCTTTATCAACTGAAGCACCTCTTAAAGCTACCGAAACACCAAGTTTTCCAAATTGAAGTCATTGCTGTGGCACTTCCTTCTGCGAAAAATCGAAGAGGTGCGCAAGCGTTTATGACCGGAGGTATTGAAGTTGAACGAAGCGGTTCATCTGTTTATTAACCAATTA